ATATATATATATATATATATATATATATATATATATATATATATATATATATATATATATATATATATATATATATATATATATATATATATATATATATATATATATATATATATATATATATATATATATATATATATATATATATATATATATATATATATATATATATATATATATATATATATATATATATATATATATATATATATATATATATATATATATATATATATATATATATATATATATATATATATATATATATATATATATATATATATATATATATATATATATATATATATATATATATATATATATATATATATATATATATATATATATATATATATATATATATATATATATATATATATATATATATATATATATATATATATATATATATATATATATATATATATATATATATATATATATATATATATATATATATATATATATATATATATATATATATATATATATATATATATATATATATATATATATATATATATATATATATATATATATATATATATATATATATATATATATATATATATATATATATATATATATATATATATATATATATATATATATATATATATATATATATATATATATATATATATATATATATATATATATATATATATATATATATATATATATATATATATATATATATATATATATATATATATATATATATATATATATATATATATATATATATATATATATATATATATATATATATATATATATATATATATATATATATATATATATATATATATATATATATATATATATATATATATATATATATATATATATATATATATATATATATATATATATATATATATATATATATATATATATATATATATATATATATATATATATATATATATATATATATATATATATATATATATATATATATATATATATATATATATATATATATATATATATATATATATATATATATATATATATATATATATATATATATATATATATATATATATATATATATATATATATATATATATATATATATATATATATATATATATATATATATATATATATATATATATATATATATATATATATATATATATATATATATATATATATATATATATATATATATATATATATATATATATATATATATATATATATATATATATATATATATATATATATATATATATATATATATATATATATATATATATATATATATATATATATATATATATATATATATATATATATATATATATATATATATATATATATATATATATATATATATATATATATATATATATATATATATATATATATATATATATATATATATATATATATATATATATATATATATATATATATATATATATATATATATATATATATATATATATATATATATATATATATATATATATATATATATATATATATATATATATATATATATATATATATATATATATATATATATATATATATATATATATATATATATATATATATATATATATATATATATATATATATATATATATATATATATATATATATATATATATATATATATATATATATATATATATATATATATATATATATATATATATATATATATATATATATATATATATATATATATATATATATATATATATATATATATATATATATATATATATATATATATATATATATATATATATATATATATATATATATATATATATATATATATATATATATATATATATATATATATATATATATATATATATATATATATATATATATATATATATATATATATATATATATATATATATATATATATATATATATATATATATATATATATATATATATATATATATATATATATATATATATATATATATATATATATATATATATATATATATATATATATATATATATATATATATATATATATATATATATATATATATATATATATATATATATATATATATATATATATATATATATATATATATATATATATATATATATATATATATATATATATATATATATATATATATATATATATATATATATATATATATATATATATATATATATATATATATATATATATATATATATATATATATATATATATATATATATATATATATATATATATATATATATATATATATATATATATATATATATATATATATATATATATATATATATATATATATATATATATATATATATATATATATATATATATATATATATATATATATATATATATATATATATATATATATATATATATATATATATATATATATATATATATATATATATATATATATATATATATATATATATATATATATATATATATATATATATATATATATATATATATATATATATATATATATATATATATATATATATATATATATATATATATATATATATATATATATATATATATATATATATATATATATATATATATATATATATATATATATATATATATATATATATATATATATATATATATATATATATATATATATATATATATATATATATATATATATATATATATATATATATATATATATATATATATATATATATATATATATATATATATATATATATATATATATATATATATATATATATATATATATATATATATATATATATATATATATATATATATATATATATATATATATATATATATATATATATATATATATATATATATATATATATATATATATATATATATATATATATATATATATATATATATATATATATATATATATATATATATATATATATATATATATATATATATATATATATATATATATATATATATATATATATATATATATATATATATATATATATATATATATATATATATATATATATATATATATATATATATATATATATATATATATATATATATATATATATATATATATATATATATATATATATATATATATATATATATATATATATATATATATATATATATATATATATATATATATATATATATATATATATATATATATATATATATATATATATATATATATATATATATATATATATATATATATATATATATATATATATATATATATATATATATATATATATATATATATATATATATATATATATATATATATATATATATATATATATATATATATATATATATATATATATATATATATATATATATATATATATATATATATATATATATATATATATATATATATATATATATATATATATATATATATATATATATATATATATATATATATATATATATATATATATATATATATATATATATATATATATATATATATATATATATATATATATATATATATATATATATATATATATATATATATATATATATATATATATATATATATATATATATATATATATATATATATATATATATATATATATATATATATATATATATATATATATATATATATATATATATATATATATATATATATATATATATATATATATATATATATATATATATATATATATATATATATATATATATATATATATATATATATATATATATATATATATATATATATATATATATATATATATATATATATATATATATATATATATATATATATATATATATATATATATATATATATATATATATATATATATATATATATATATATATATATATATATATATATATATATATATATATATATATATATATATATATATATATATATATATATATATATATATATTACAATTTCAAACATTAGTTAAAAAATAAACTATAACAATTCATTCATCCTATACATGCCATAACCTAGAAGAGACTAATCCAGATTTGGTATAATGTCGAACTATTGGTAGTCTATGCACTTGTAATGGTAATACTACTGATTGAAACCAAGCTACCATACGAGGTTAGTCCATTTTAGTTGCATATGACAATGATCAAAGCCTATAAACAAGAATATCTCGCTACTCTTACCACCTAACTCGCCCCTAAAGTTTATGTGGTATCAAAGGCCTCGGGCGACCCTAGTAAAAATGGGCTCTGAGATATGATCACTAGGCGAGCACAACTATTGTTGGACAAAAGTTATTTTGGAAATCTAGGTGAGCCTAGACAATGGCTAGAATGTATTCAAATATTGAGTGCTTTTGTATGTGATATGTATGAAGTATTTTCAAGGAGAAAATGTTGTTGTATGATTTAGAATGTGTATTGAATATGGATTCCTTGATGGGATTATCTAGACTTTACCAAGTATTTATACTCAAAGATAAAAATCTAGGTAATGAAAGTCGATAGATGTTTCTATACTGAGTAGAATCTCGGTAATTCTACCAAAATCTAGAGTCTCTATATGATAGGTGGGAAATCTCTAAATCCAATTCAACATATGAATGAATTAGTGATATAATGTCAATTAAGATAGTTGTGTAAAGTAGATTAAATGATTAATTTGAGATTTGATGTTTTAAATTATTGACATTATGGTAAGATTTTGAATCTTTTAAATATACTACCTTACCTTATGCTTTTATTTGCTATGTGTGACAGAGTAGCAAAGAATCGTGCAGGTGGAAATTCTTATCCGTGAGTAATTAAAAGAGTTTAGAATAGTATAAATATTTTGGATACATGTAATTTATATTCCTTTAAATGAGCATGTATATATTTTATTTTGAAAAAAATTATTTCATTGGAGGATTGTAAACTAATCTTATATATACTTATATTATCTGGATATATGGTGATTAGATACATGGTTAGTGGTAATGTTACGACTAAATAGGATTGTTACAACAATTACAATTATCCGTTCCGACATAATGCTATTCACAGTGATTGTCTGGTGGAATATAAATTCTGATAACTGGAAACAAAATTTGCCTGCTGAACAAGGATATAGATCGACACAAGTTCACGTTTCGATGTGGCATACAAGTCTCTCTCACCATGTGAACACAGCTTTTTTGAAAGGTCAAAAGTCCATGTTAATAATTCTCGATTTCAATAATTTATTAAACCATGAAATTGGACGCAAAAATGTAAGGCAAAAAAGAAGGCTCCCTCTTTCATTCTTTGCTCGGATTCATACTTAGTTTTAAGGGTATTCACTTTTGAGTGTCCTTCAATCACACCATAATACGCTGGGAAAATATGCATCTACAGATTAAAACTAGGGAACTTACATGATATATAAAGTGTTCATGTTAGCAGCTCTACATCTATAAGAGTTTGAAGGTCAGAACTAGAGAGAGAAGTTTAAAATATCATAGCACGTTATGCAGACCACAAATTGATTTGTGCCAACACCAGATTCGTTTTTCCTGCCAAAGGAAAACAACCAAGGGACTAAAAAAGAAGAAAAGAAGAAAGGAAAATAAAGCCAGAACCAAAGGAAAAAGCTTAACTGGTATTACAGAAGGTTGGCCTCCTTTGAGCCTACAATCTGAAACAACAAAATATAACAAGATTAAGAATGTACACCAGGAGTAAATTAGCAGAGTTGAGTTTAATCCTTACGTGAATAACTGAGGGCGGTTACGTGAGAGTTGAGGCCTCTTTATTGGAGATAGTATCATGTTCCTCAAAGTCATGGATGGATTATTAGTAGCACCTGGTCCAAAAGGATGAGCACCAGCCCTTCTGTTACCAGCGTCCCCTGCGATGGCCGTTTGTTTTGCCGGTGAGACAACGGACAGATCAAAGGGACCGGAGTTATTGCTATTCTGCCTTGCTGGCCAGACATCATCTCTTGGTCCTGGAGTGGCAGGAGTGAATACCGGCCCACCTGCAACAAATAAGTTATTCTACTTTTGGAAACATCTAAGCAGAAACAAGGTCAAACACAGTCCATGACCACCACGATCATCACCATAATATTCATTGTTGCTCCATTACCGTCGTAGTGATGAGAGTTTCAACAATGTTAATGGTGGTAATTGTAATGATTGGGCTGTGACTATGGTGGCAGAGGTTGTAGTAGTAATTGGATGTCATTTTCTTCATTGCTTTCATTACATTATTTAAGGGCATGTTTTCAATTACAAGAAAATAAAAAGGAAAGACAACAAATTTCTTCATAAATTAAAATTAACTTATATAAGTTACTTTTGTAGAAGTTTCTTATATTAATTTTTTTAAAATTAATTTTATATTTTACTTAGTTCATGTTGAAACTCTTTAATTTCTTTTTCAACTCCTTGTATTGATAGACAAGTTTAATCAAACAAACCCTAAATAAATCATACTTTATTTGGTTTTAGTTATTTGAAACTTGAACATAACATAAAATGCTTTCTAATGTCTATTGACAATGAAAAGAAATATCCTCTATCTATTGAAAGTAAAGGGTTACCTTTTCTGCCAATTTCTCTGTCATCAATCATGTTTGGCGGGTTAGAGAACAAGTCGTGCTCATTTCTGGAATAATAGTTGTTTGCAGGCTGTATGGCAGATCGCTTCACTGAGTCAAACTCATTCCTCAGCTGGTCATACATTTCATCCAATTTTCTCTTCTGCCTGAAATTGAAATTGATTTAGGGAACTAATAACGACATATAATTTTGTACAAGAGGAAATGCAATCAACACTGACCTGGATTTTTCAGCAAATTTTTCCTGAAGTTCTTGATTGTCCTTGGTTAAGCTCTCAATTTCCTGTTGCATAATCTGACACTTCTTAGCCATCTTTTGGTAAGCAGTGTGGACCTGCTCTAGTTTTTCTGTAAACTTCTCTTGCATCATCTCACATTTCTGCCGGCATTGAGCAACGATCTTGTTCATCTTAAACTGCATCTCCAGTTCTTTTTGCCCAATGTAGAACATCACACTTCTATATGCACTTTTCATTACTGAATTGGCTCAGGTAAACACGCAAGGTTCAATGTACCCTCTTAATTTCTAGAATTTCAGAATATGCACTTCATTTATGATAATCATACTGCTAGATAGTCCAGAGGGATATAACATACAACCTTAGTTTTCTATTTCTACACAGTTCTACCTCTAAACAATTGAAATAAAGGATACATATCTGTGGAGATACTCCTGCCATGGCCATCTGCAACATAAATCATCACAATAATTGGCGACAAAGCTAGTGTGAATAAAGAAAAAGAAGAGATAGGATAGTGAAATTCAGTAAATTACAGAGTATCTTAGGTTTATGTAATATGTAGTTAGTATTGCACATGAGAATATTTACTTACATTGACCCATTCATCATTGGGATTGACATCCACAGGTTTCATGAGACTGACAAGAGGAGAAACATATAACTTAGACAACAACACGTCATCCATGAGGCTTAAAATTGACAACTCAAAATCTAAAAATGAAGACAGAGCATCAAATTTCGGCACAATTATAGGTACTAACTGTTAAGGGGATATTATAGCTACCAAATGAGCGCTTACATAAGCATCATTTCATTGAAACTTAAAATTGACAGCATATAATGTAGAATAAAATTAAATAATCAGTACAACTCCTATAATCAAACATTATTTCCATAAAGCTTAAAGTATAGATTGCTGAGGGATGACTCGTTCCATTAACTGGCCGTTATAATCAGTATTATTTCAGGTAAGGAACGAAATCACGTGTATGATCAAACAGACCTATCACATCCTCACCTCTTAGAAAGGACTTGATCACATATAGGACATGCTCCATCATTGCTTAATATCTTATTCGCATCATCTGTGCCTTTTAACATTGTTAAGGAAACCACATAAATAAAAAATAATAACCATTTCAATGATAAAACATGCGGAAAATCAACCTAATTTAATATGAACTAAGTTGATCATATTTTACTAAAAAGGAGGAACACAACGTCAAAACTGTTTCTATGTGGATACATAATAGGTGACCACAGGTTGTGGAAATCGCTCGCCCTTCTAATTCTCGCCAGCATGCATTGCATCTCATTTCAGTTGTCGGATATTAACCATAAATGTCCAAGGGTCCAATTAAAACAACTGCAAGACAAAACAGTACATCAGGTTTCTTCATGGAATGATAAGACTAGGCTTTACTTAATTGCAGACAAAAGAAAAGTAGCTAGCGGATGTGCTCAAACGGCTACGATAATAATAACATCAATGCAATCGTCCTACAACTAAAGAAGCTACCATTTCTTAACTAAAAATAACAAGTTGAAAGCAAAAATAGTTGAACTTTGAGTAGGTCAATACTAAACCCGTAGATCAGTTATAATACATTATACAGTAAGCACATAAGAAACTAGTTATCCTAAATATTAAATATTTGAATCATACAAGGCAGAAAATTTTCAACGATGATTTCAGTTCAATACCTGATGCTTCTCTAACAAAGATCTGACAAACAAAGGATTGTGTATAGAATTTTTCAAAAGCATACTTGAAAACCAAGGACTATTTAGCTGTATAAAATAACTAATACCAATTCACAGTCCCAGCTCCTAACTGACTAAACATTAACCCCTCCTCTGTTCGCACACACTAACCCTCACACACAGACTAACCCATTTACACGCAGACTGGTAACAGCTGCTCTAACTTTCTCATTAACTTATTTGTCACTTTCTTTTTGAATAAATCACTAAGCAACAAATCATTATCCTCTAATCAGCACCTTCAACTTCCAATAAAGTTTTATAAACTCATTACATAATTGCAGTTTCACAAAGGAAGATGGAAACTTGACTGATGCGTAATGACAAAAGGACTTCATAAAACTTAAGCTCCATCATCAAAAGTGAGGAAAAAGAGAGCAAAACAGTGAAAATCCAATGAATATACACACCTTTGTACCATCAACAAATCTTTCACCAAATACTGTAAAATTCACAAATAAATGGGAGCAGAACAGGATTAAATGACCTAGAAGTAGAGGTAGAATATGCAGAAAACAAATCACTTCAAGAACTCAATTGACAATGCAACACATTTTCATTCATTATTGGTAGCATAAAAGAAGTTTCAGTTACACGCTAACTCCCAGAATCAGAATTTCAAATGCAAATAATGAATTAACTTAAACTATATTCATTTACAATAGATAAAACCGTGACCGAAATAGCCAGTACCTAACAGAAATTGCTCGAGAAATTGAAGAAGGAACGAGAGAAGCGTTGAATTTCAGAGAAGAATGGAAGATGGACTTTAGCGCGAAAACTTGAAATGGGAACCAAACGCTGAAGCGCGACACGAAAAATCCCGTAGAAGAACAAAGAGAAAAAACAAAGAGAGGAGTAACGGCAAAGTTTAAAATGTGTGTGTATAATTTAAAAGTCTTTACAGCGTTAAAAAAGCTTATATATTTTATTTAGTTAAAAAATATATTTTTTATTGATTTTTATCATAATAATTTTAAAATTTTATTTATCATATGTTTTAAGTTAATCAGAGTCCATATAAATTGAATTAAAATGAACTAGTTTAACTTGGTTCAGTTTTTTTAGTAAGTGAAAAATTTTATAATTAGATTCCACCCTTTACAAAATATTAGGTATATTTTTTCAATTTATTTAATATATGAATTGCAATAAATTCAAAATAAATTAATTCAACTCATTCTAAACCCAACTTAAATGGTTTAACCTATAAATTAAGTTAACCAGGTTCAATTTCACTTACATTTAAAATTTCAAATTTTTGTTAACCCAAATTAATGAGGTTAATTCACACATTTAAACTGATATTTCTATTTACAATAGGAATTAGTGGATAAAGGTAATAATATCCTATAACGGAGTTTACTAGAAAAATAGAAAAATATATTGTAAAAAAAGAATAACATATAAAACTATAGTGGAGTCATGATTTAACTTCTATATTTATTGTTTGGTACTCAATATAATTTTATATTTGGCATTAATTTGTGCATATAAGTATTCAATATAATATAATACCATGTTTTATATTGTTTTACTAGTCTAAGACCTCTTTTGTCTTATATAGGGTAAGATTGTAATATATAAAGTTTCATATATTATCCATTTTAATGCGTTTTTTCATTGTTTTAAGTTTAAAAATATATGTTAATATATACTCCAATAAATAGTTTATAATTAGTGGCTGTAATTTTTGCAACACTCTTTTATATGTAGAGAGAGATAGAGAAACCAGATATATTAAATAAAGTTTTTATTTGCTTCGGATTTAAAATAAATCCGGTTCAACTTCTTAATGTTAGGAAAATAAATAAATAAAATTCCCGACTTTCTTCAACGCTATGCTTGTTGAGAATTCTAAAAGCTAAGGAAAATTTTCTTCCTTAGTATCTTGTTCTCTCCATCATCAATCCATAGCTAAGTTTTACTAAAATAAAATATTGATTTAGCTAATGTCATTAATTCAATGAAAGTGATTCAAAATTTTATGGAAATTTAAGTTTTAATCTTTAAATCAAATATCTAGTTTAAGAAGATAACCCAATTGGCTAAAGTTGATGCTAAGACAAAAGATGACGTCAAAAAAATTAATGAAGTTAAAGTTGTTACAAAGATTTTTGTCTAAGTTATGACTCTGGTAAAAGATAACCCAATGTGAGACATCCAAGCTGTAAAAGCTTCATCCTCCGAGTCTCAATGCAATGTATATATATTCTTGTTAGTAATACTATAACATTCTTGTCAAGCTGGTAATAAAACTCATATTGTCTATTACTTATATAAAAAACATAATACATATTATTTTGATACCATTGTTTAATCATAAATGAATTCATCCACAAGGAAATAAAAAAAAAAATACATGTATCACTCTTAAAAAAAATGCAAAATTGTTATCTTAACCAAAACTATAAATGAAAAGAACTTTTTTTTTTTCTAAAAATACTAAAAAGAACTAAAGAAAGTTGCTTTATCAAGAACTTCTTATATAACATGTTACTATAGGATAGACCCGCCTAGTAAGGCATGACAGCATACCAAGTCCAACGGATCGAACATCAAGGTTACGTAAAATGACTTAGAAGTCGTTCGGTCACGACAACATGTGGACATAGTTAAAGTCCAATCAATGCGGTAACGGCTATTGATGACTGATTAAGACATGTATTAATGACCATATGTATTAAGACATGTATTAGGCTTTCATAATCTCATTACTCTAGACCTCCAGAGAAAAATTATGACTTCAGCGTCGGAGTGTATTCTGTAGGTCACCCCCCAAACCGATCGGTCACATTGCCCATATGTTAAAAGTAAAATGAAATAATTTTTGGATGAGTTAAAATTATTTTAAAAGATTGTTACTCCATAATTTTGAAAAAAAAAAGTTAATAATGGTAATTTTTAAAGAATACATCATTTTTTGTATAAAGAAAATGTGAAAGAAGACACCAAAATGAAGAATGTAACCATGATCTTCAATGCTTTTCACATATGCACTAAGACTATTACTCTCAAAGGTCACTGAATATGGTAAATGGATCAAGAACCACATAAAGATATACAATTAAGAGCCCACACACGTATGCATGCTCATGAAATTGGTTTCACAAGCCCCAAAACTGATTCCCTTACCTTTAACCCTTCAAAAGGAATCGATTCCACTACACCCAGAACCAATTCCCAACACTTCACTGTCACACAGTTGTTCATGAAATGCGTTCCACAACTACCTTCATGCTCCCTTCGCGACCATGGAGGTCCACAACGACTACCTTCATATAGCAGGGACATTATTGTAAAACAACCATTATCGCCCTCAAATCCGTTTAACTCATGTGAGATAGAATGATGACGTGATCCCACTAATTCACATTTTCCATCGCTTGCAAATTGCTAGAAATGAACATAGTTAATCATCACAAATCTTCCCCTCGTAATTTACTAGAATAGTGAATCAACGCAAACGAACACGCCCTAAGTGAGCAACCTATTAACCCATTAACCTATAGTGGGTTGAACCGGGTTACAAATTTTTTGACCCACCAAAAAGTGAGTAAATTTGAGCTTATTCATTTTTAGCTCAACCCGTGGTGAGCCAATCCATGTGAGTCATGTTAGCTCACAATGACATGCCTAGCCAACTCAAATAGAGCTATCAAGCATCTTACTCATGTGAAACTACCAATTGTTACACTCACACAAAATTTTCGCCCTTTCACTCTTGAAAAGTTTATCCATTATTTCACTCACACAACTTCTAGACATGCTTTGTCATAAAGCTTAGTAGATAAATCAATCTACACAAGATTACCAATTGTGTCACTCACATAGAGTTTTTCAATCATTCTCACACAAAGATTTACGAGTTCACTCATTCTAACACAAAGACTTATCGAGTTCATAAGGTGCCATTACCCATACAAGACTACTCACATAGAGCCCACCTTTTGTTGAGACACATGACACATCATTCAAATAACTTCACATACACATAAAACTAAAGTTGACATCAACAATTTATAACACATATAAACAAGTGAACATACCCATTATCTTAAAATGAGATTACAATTCATCCAAATTATCTTTAACCCCAACATACATACTTAATGCATATCAACACATTTATTAATCGTAAAAATTTTCCCTTTCTAACGTAGCCTACTCTATCATGCCTTCGTCCCACCTTTATCTCCTTTGTGTTTTGCTTTATTCAACTTTGTTGGCTACCTTTGTAGTTCCAATTATCGTTTTTCCAAAAATGTAAACACCATGAGTTCTTCAGAGTTGGCCTCACGGTGGACATTGAATGTTTTTACAAGGTTAAAGTGTATTCGTCCAACATAAGTGTTTATTTTTCTTCAACTTGTATCTCTCGTTTTTTCACAGTTACAACGTTCTCAACAATAAGGTAAAATGTGTTTTTCTTGTTCGATCTTGCTAGTCCTAAGTTAAGGAGCCTGAAAAGTTAATGTGATGCTCAATTCAATTATACATATTAGACAATAAATGTTGTATTTATACATAGTAAATAATATCTATTTATAGTAATGTATATGTTTTTGTCGTTCATAAGCCTATGTTATGTTTTGTGGGTGGGTACCGGTTTAGGATATGCTAAGTAACACTTAGTTACCTTAATAATTAGTCATCTTTGGTTTTACTAGGACAACGTTACTTGCGAAAGACTTTGACATTATACAATCCTGTTTCGGATGTGTAGGGCTGTGCTATTTCGGACCTCCCAATTCTCCTGTGCTCTTGTCTCGGCGGCTGATCTTCCCTCCAAATCTTAGCTCTCCTTTCAATCCTGGGGGGCGGAGACCTGCAAAAGACTCTCCGATGCCAAAGTCAGTTTCATTGCAATGTTTTTTCTCAAGGACAGCAATAAATGTGCATTCAATGTAACCTATCTACCACTCACCATGGACCTGTATTTATAGTTTTTGCTATGGGCTTGGGATTAGTGAAAAGTTAATCACGGCCCAAAGTAGCCCAATAGCTTCTAATCCCCACTTACCTCTAAACCAGGTTAATTTACCTAAGCCACGATGATTAGTGATTTGGGCAGTCAATGAGGTGCGGGCGTCCGCCCATGTGATATGGGCGTCCGCCTCCCATATTGCAGAAGGCGGATGGTCGTTGGCCCTTTGGCATTAAAATGGGCGGACGGTCATTTACCGAGCGTTCTTCTGTACGGCGACCGGCCCTTCCTGGTACAAATCCTATTTTTAATTTGGAGTGGAAGTTATCTGGTTTGATCTCTTGCACAAATTTATTACTTTTTTAAATACAAACAAAAACTTTTTACAATTTGTTATATTTATAATTAATTTTAATTTCTTTACACCAATCACATTTATTATATATTTTTAATTTAAACTATTTAATTTCTCATTCTTTCTTTTCATTTTCTCTCTCCCTCACTACAAATATATAACTTTGACTTTTGCTTTCTTAGTTCAACAACTGAACCATTCATTTGAAGAACCCAAATAACCAACACTTCAAACGAAAATAAATCCTTATTGACAAACAAAATAGTGAGAGTCATGAGAAGAGTGGCCCTTGCGCTACTCAAACGAGTTTACCCTTCGCGCAGCCACAATGCACGGCGCTCGTTCAGCACACTCCTCCCTCCGCCGCGCGAGGTGGTGGAACCCTTCTGCAATCTCTCCGACGTCGTTTCCTCCCCTCAAACCTCTCCGTGGGTCTCTCAAATCATCTCCCTCCTCGACGGCTCTCCCTCCATGGAGTCCAACCTCGACTCCTTCTGCCGCCAATACCTCGTCTCTCTCTCCCCCGCCTTCGTTTCCCACACGCTCCGCTCCCTCTCCGACCCTCTCACCGCCACGCG